GTGACAACGGAAACGATTGAGGGCACCTTCAGAAGCTCGCATTCACGCTTTAAGAGATCGATGGCAACGCGACCGATATCGCACCGAGTGCGACCACAAGCGAGATCGATCGCGCTCTCGAAGTTCGGTGCAACAACACCTGAGCAAATCTCAAGCTCAACCAGAACTCGAGTACTAATTGTTGGGAGCTTTGTTAGCCTAGAGCCCTAGGGGCTCGAATCAGTGAGGTTCTGCATAAGGCAGATTCGATTGTCCTGTCGCAGCTGGAACGCCGATAATTTCCGCAGATGCATATACTTTTGTATTAGATCCATCAGAATCTATTTTTCTTGAGATCGTATTTTCGTAATGCGTCCGTTCGCTGGAGCAATTATTTAGATGAACACATGGCTGACGGACGCCGAAGAGAAGTTCGGGATTAGGAATTTTCTCGAGGGGAACAAATTTAAAGCGCAGCTCTTTCCCACCCGGTCATAAATTACTAGGAAGTCACTCTATCTCGCAAAATCTACAAATTTTTCCCGCTTTTTCGGAAATGAAATTATTAAAGGCGATCTCACGGTGCATGAATTACTGATGAAGACTTCGTGTACATGAAAAGGAAGAATCTTTCCGTGAAAAAATTCGCCATTGAGGACGGATGCTTGAATAAAGAGTTTATGAAGTAAAGCTCGCAAATCTTCTTTCGATTGAAACTCTGCAGGGAGCAAACATCACTATCATCATGAGTCATGAGATCAGATTTTATACTCCTCGAGCCTCGTCTGAGAGCCATTCATTCATCCATCTCCATTTTCCTCCTTCCTACCCCATCCCGCAGTTCCCATCTCCAACTTTCGTTCTAGTGCCGGTCCTCCCACTACTCCCTTTTCTTTGTTTCTTTCGTTTCCCGCCGCCTCTACTCCTCCCGAGTTCGTATCTCTCCCGGTTTCCAGCTGCTCTCCTTCCCGTGTTCCTTCGATCTCCCCGTTTTTTCTGTCTCCGACGATTTCCCTGTTGTCTTGGCTCATCTTACGTCTGTTCCACGAATCCGTCCCCCGCTCGCGTTGCCTAGCTCTCTCCCTTCCCCATCACTACCACGCTCTTTTCCTCCCATTCCCTGCTCCCTCACATCTCTCTTTTCCCCCTGTCGCCTGTCCAATGCTCTCATTACTCCCCTCCTCTCTATATAACTCCCCTCTCCGCTTTCTTTCCCTCTCCTCACTCCTCCCACCCCCCCGTGACTCCCGTCTCCCCGTACCTGCCGTCAGCCTGCTTCACCCGTCTCCCTGCTCCCCCTCCCCTCGTTCCACAAATCTCCCCGTTTCTGCCGTCTCTCCGTTCCTCCCGACTCCCCGTCCTCCCTGTCCCTCCGTTTTCGCGCTTATACCGCCCACCAACCCCCCCTAGTCCCATACCCCTTTCCCCCGCTCCCATACCCCGTTTCCGCGCTCTCATACCCTATTTCCCCGCTCCCATACCCCATTTCCCCACTCCCATACCCCATTTCTCCACTCATTCCCCATTTCCCCACTCCCCGTTCCTCTCGTCCCCGCGTTCCTCCATCTCTTTTTACTCCTGTCTTCCCGCCCCTCAAGTTTCCCCGCTCCTTCCGTCACCCCGTTACTCTTGTTTTCCGCTTCTCTCGTCTTCCCGTTCCTCCCGTGCCCCCGTGCCTCCCGGTTCCCCCATCTCTTGTCCCTCCCGTCTTCGCAATGATCTCGTCCCCCCGTTTCTCCCATGTCGTGTTTTTGCCCGTGTTCCCGCTGATCCCCCATCCCCAATTCTCCTCTCTCTTGTTCCTCCTGTGTTCCCGCTCCTTCAGTTCCCCCGCTTATCCAGTCCCCCGCTAATCCCATCTCTTGTTCCTCTGATGTTTCCGCTCCTAGAGCCCCTCCGCTGCTCCCATGTCCCCTTCCTCTCGTCTCCGACCTCTTTCGTTCACCCGTTCCTCTCACCTTCCATTCCTGTTGTTTCCCCGTGCGTCCTGTCTCCCTTTTCCTCCTGTCTGCCCATTCCTCCCATTTCTCCATCCCTCTCGTCTCTCCGTTCCTCCCATGTCCACGGCTCCTTTCGACTCCGGACTCCTGAGCTGCGTTCTGATGGGATGAATTTTCCGAGTAAAATGTGGTTTCCTGTGAAGGGTACAGGAACACTATTCCTCCCTTCATTATCCTATCGGTCCCAGGATTCGGCGACACCGACGTACCGTCACTCCGGCGAAACGTCCTCCTTAAACCTCATCCCTATCAAAAGTCCGACCCGTCAACTTCTCAATGGAATCGCGGGAAAGAATCTCGTTGCATGGGTCCCTGTTAGCAGCTCGCGACGGGGAAACTATACTGCCGCTGTCCCGTCATTCTCTGAAGACGAGGGGGGTACATTGTTCTAATCGAAGAAAACCGACTCAGTTGAGAGGGGAACTCGGAATACATCTCCCACGCGATTCCAAGCCGTCTAATCCATTCATGGTAATCCAAGGTTGGACCAAATGCGACGATCTTGGAGAAAAACGCACGATCAGATCAGCGATCAGAAGAGATCGAGCCAAAAGATGAAGGCACTATGCACCTCGAAATTCCCGGATCTCGTCACACGATCTCACCCGGGAGCTCTGAGCTCACGATTCACGATAGAGCAAAAAAATCACTGAGTGTATCCGACGCCAATATCCGCCGAAAACTCGCTTTGCAATCAGCGAAGACTCAACCATCCTGCGCATAAGAGTCCCTCCTAGAGAAAGCATCGGGCAGACGGGAACGGATCTCGGGAGAAAAATCGCTCGACATTCTATTCTAAGGCACCACAGCAGTTGCGACGTCGCGAGATACTAGAAAACCATGAAGGGATTCGAAAAGACCCGTCGGGAAGTCTATCTACTGCAGGGTGTATCGGACAGTATTCCGAGCTCCTTGATACCCTCAAAGTCGAGAAACTGAATTCGATTGAGATATCGGTGGAATTCGATCGCATGATTGCATGAGGCTGAAAAATTCAGGTTCCTTCACAGCGGGCCGGAAAAAAACGCCGATTTCTATTATCGGATGCGAGTTCGCGCATAGTTCGGAGGGAAAGCTGTCAAATCGAGCTTGCGAAAGCTTAGCAGCTCCAGTTCCGATCCTGATTCCAACAAGTCTTCTTCATCGGTGGGCGCTCGAACGCCCCGGATGATTGGTTGCTCTTCTTCAGGGTCTCGCCTGGGGTACAAGGGGTTTCAAAAAGCTGTGCTTTTGTGGTCTTCTCGCGGCTTTTCTTTCTTCGAGAAAGTTTGGCCCAGCGGGATGATTAGAAACACTGCTGTGCTTCCCCTTGTGGTGGAGTGCACTTCTGTTATGATACACTGCTCAGAAACGCGGCTATAGATCCGATTTTCGAGAAGCTTGGGATAGCTGATGATTTTCATGCACTAGAACAACCGATCCGACAGTCGCACTATGAAACAAAGCTCGCACTGGCACTCCTCAAGCACCACACGAGCCTACAACCATCGATTGTAGCCGGGGGAAGCCTTGCGCGGCCTTCACAACGACGGTTCTGTGCGACCTCCACTTCCCCGACTGTCTGTGTGATGCCGGCCGCAGAGCTAACCTTTCTCTGAGCATCAAATGGATCGAGTCGAGTGAAGGTACTGGGAGATGAAAATAAGATTCCTGACCGTGGATGCTCCGCTTGTAACCGATTCGACGGTCACGTTCCGTACACGGGGGGTTCGTCGGCTGACTCAGCTCGGCGGGGACACTGCTCCCGAGAAAGGAATCTAGAGGGAGAATACTCCCGGAGAGGTTTGAGAATCATAGCCGACACCTGTATTCATCTGCAGGTAGCTAGGATCGAACCTTAGGCCTCGGCATCCTTCCCGTCCGGCGCCGCAAAGAGGCGAGCGTTTTGCATCCGGAGGATTGGGCGTGCGAGGCACTCAACCCCTTCGTCGGCATCAATCGGCATCATCAGCTCAGTGCATCGACCTGATCAATCGTGCCGAAGTTCAAACCTCGCGAAACTGTTTTTCGAGCTCGGGTGCGTCTCAAGATCTCCGAGGTGTCTGGAGATTATCTAGACTACCGAATAAAGTAGATTTTCCGCGACTTCTCCCCGACCTGCTCTCTCCTCTCAATCAGGGAGGAACGGGCGTTGACCCCCAATATCAGTCGGGGAATGATACGATGGATTTCAACTCGTTCGGTAATTGGTCAGGGATGAGTTGTATAGTTGGCTGTACATGAGACACGCGGAATTCAAGGGTGGATCGAGAATCGACTCCTGCTCCTCTCGGCATCCGAGGTGAGAACGAGTGGAGCTTAGCAGAATATTCTGTGTTGAAGCCCAACATTTCACCCGCAGCGAGCCCCTGGTCAAAGAATGATCAGTGTGTTCGGTGAGCAGAACTTTTTTTAGAGGATCCCAGGCATATTTCTCCGACGATCTCAGATGTGATTCGCGCGTTCTCATGTTCGCCATAAAGTATTGAATATTCCTTCCTGTCCCGACGCAAGTGTTATTCCATGACGGGTATCATATTGCCATCGAAGTTACGGAATCACAGAGCTGGCTTCCGGTGAGCACTATTTCTGAGATCAGGAAACGGGCTAACAATGTCCGCCACCTGCCAACTTGCTTTGCGGGATGTGGCGAGCGGTGGAAGTCTTGATAGGAAGAAAATTATCGCCCCTTAGGGAGCGGAATTGAAGCTGATGAGCTACAGGTTCACAGTGAGGATCGGTCGATGTCAGGAATTCCCTGGCGCGAGCTTCACGTGGCCGAGCCGATAGACAGCCGGATCTCTTGGCCAACGAATAACATGAATGCACTTATCAGAGGGTTTTCATCCGGGTCATTAGGATAGTAATGAGGATCCTGCAATGGAATGCTGCATACGGACGGTCGTTCAATAGAGGCGAGGCTACCGATCACACGTCGCGAACTCTTCAGGAGCGCACAGCCCCACAGCGAGTGACGAGGCAGATGAAAATCATCATATCATTCGGAAACATCACGTTCCTTGATTATTTCTCAGTCAGCTGCACGGAGAGTATTGGACCCGATCGAACATCTGATCCACATCCGTCTTCATGAGGATCGAAAGTGAGTGCTGATTGCGGGAGGCGACTACCCCTTTGAGTTCGTTCCCAACCCGCTCCTCGCTCATCTGTCTTCAGAAAATCGACGCCGATATTTCTTTACGGAAGCGGCTTCCCTGTAGACCCCTTGACAGATACGGCATCTATCAGCTGACATGGAGCATGTGGGGCTATTCGATAGGCAGACCCGGAGACTGCGAGCAGAGGAGCGGGAGTTTGGGATAAAGTGAAGGTGGCTGGAGTGAGGACGGGTTCTCAGAGACGAGGGGATGTCGTGGGCTCCGAAGCTGGAGGGAATCTTTCCTCGCTCTGGAAGGTTTTCGGTCTTCAATATCTACCGCTTACGCGATGTGCACGGAGCATTAGGAGAACTGTGTTCTGCAATTTCCAAAACATGACTCACAAATCCACTGATTCTATTCCAGCCGAAGAAGGGGCCTGATCTCATCATAACTGTGTAGCAGTAATCGTCGAGATCGTTTGTCACCTCGGATGTTCTCGGGATAATGTATACGTTGACCTACGGATTTTGGAAGTATCTCACACAGAAAGACGAGTACTCGGTCCTGATCCTGGGCCTGGACAATGCCGGTTGGTGAACGAGTGCGAGCGGAAAGCTCAAGCTGATATAGAATTATCGTCGCATGCCTCCTCCATTCTCCTACCGATTTTACGCGGGACACATTTGTACATCGTCACTTTCCGTCCTCCAGGAAAAACCACCTACTTGGAACAGACGAAAACAAAGTTTACCAAGGGTTACACGGGCATACGACCAAACAAGGTGACGACGACCGTTGGTCTGAACATTGGTAAGATCGACACGCAGGGTGTGCGAATAAATTTCTGGGATCTCGGCGGTCAGGAATCTCTGCAAGCCCTATGGGACAAATACTACGCCGAATCTCACGGGCTCATCTACGTGGTGGATTCTTCGAGCCGCGACCGCTTAGAAGAGTCACGTAAATCATTCGCAAAGATGATCGACAACGACGCATTGTTCGGAGTTCCGCTTCTGATCATTGCCAACAAACAAGACATACCCGAATCTGCGACGGTGACCGAAATCCGCCACATGTTCAGAGAATGCAATATTGGCAACAGGGAGCTCAACATTGTCGGTGCTTCCGCGCTTCATGGCGAGGGCATTCAAGACGGAATAACGTGGCTTGTCGACGGCATGAAACGAAATCTCAGGAGACCGCCGCGGAATGTAGATGCCTGAGTCGGAATCGACCGGAGATCCTCACGAATTGTACATAAAACTGTTGAATGCGTGCCTCTTTGTATGATTATTGTAACGCAATGAATTTCGATGAAGAAGTCGGATATCAGAGTCTTAACTCTCATCGATTCTCTCAATCGATATATCGCAATGCTTCCATGAGGGGGACGAGCGATGCGACATCCCCTTTCGACACTATGCCATGTCGGATAATGATTATGCTCTCAGATGCATACGGACGAGCGACGAGCCTAGATCTCGAACCGACGCGATATTCGCACCGAGACAAGCGAATCCCCTTTTGTTCGCCGCGCTTTTCTGCAGAACAACATGGGGACTGAAGAGCTGTTGATTTGAGGATTCGTGCCGGCGGGGTACGCTTCGCTGTTCAAAGAACGCATCAGTGACCCGAAACAGAAGCTAACTAAAAAGATGAGAGTCTAGCCAAAAACGACGAGGAGCTTGTTGATCGAAAATCCATGCTTACAAGCATTGCCATGAGTTTATTTTATGTACGTAGAAGTATTCATGATGAGAAATAGAACCGTGCTCCACTTTCCCTTCTTGCCGCCTCCGGCCCGATCGCGGGAGTCTATATTTCTAATTCGTTCTCCGCGTTACACCTATGTTTGCAAGATCACCCATATCTCCCTTTCGAAGTCAAAGCTAGGAGCTAGATGGTTCTTATTTTTAACGGACGCTCGTTGCGCTATCAAACCTGGGTTCTGTTCACGAGACTCTGGAAAAGAGACGGGGTTGGTCATTGCTCGACGAATGCCATGGGAGCCAAATCTCGTTTCTCAGGCCGAAAAGAAAGATCTTCCTCACCTTGAGATTTTCGAAATTCGTGCTGAGACTCACGACGTCCTCTGTTTGGATAGAGTGCTCCATCAGTAGTATGTGCTGTTTCATTTCTTCGAAAGCGGCGACGAACTCGGGATCAATGGGATTCTTCAGCTCCTCTGCGCTTTTCCGCTCGTAATCATGGAACACGAGCGCGGTAACAGCATGTTGCCGTTGTCCGGCGCTGCGGGTCGTCATTTGGCTCATTGGCACTTGCGTAATTTCTATGTGCTGAGCCTCATCGAGATCTTCTTCGAGAATCTCGCCGTGCTCGATGCCCTCGATGACTTGCACTTCATCAGGATTGACACCTTCCTGCAGGTGTAGGATCTGCACTTGATCAGCGT